TATAGAACTGTTCTCTCTGTGGTGGCTTGGGTTTCCAGTCCTTGAACTTGGGAGACAGAGGCAGGAGGATTGACACCCACTTCATGCCAGCTTGATCTCTACTGAGGTTCAGGCCAGCCTGGGCTGGAGTGAGAGACCCTATCTCAAACAAGCGGCACCCCCAAAACTGCTTTTGTTCTGTTTTCCATGACTCTCTACTGCTTGTTTGTATGTGAGTGAGCAGTTGCAAAGAATGATGGATAATGTCCACTTTAAATAATGTCTTTTTGCTGAGATACTCACTGATAACAAAGTCAATTTTATCGACCATTTTAACATTAGGAAAATTATATTTACCGCAAAACCTGGTCAGATGAGCCCAAGTCAGCTCCCATCATAGAGCTGCATTGAGACTGCTGAGCATACATTGGCTGTTTTCAACCTTGTGATGGGTCAAGGGAACACTGGCCTGGACTGTGAGAGGGCAGCAGCCTGAACTTGAGTGCCCCTCCTGCCTCTGCCTCCTAGACTATGAATTTACGTGTGCACCACCCTCATGTGTAGAAGCCAACAACTTGTGAGAGTCAGGTCTCTCCTCCCATCATGCTGGTCTCTCTGGGACTCAAACTTGGGGCAAGCTTGGCAGCAAGCTTGCCAGCCCTCTTGCTATCATTTTTAGGTCAGGAATTGATTTTTTTTTTATAAGTAAATGGATTAAGAGATTTATGGTGTATATGATGTGATGTTCTAGTGTGTGTTTACACTGTGAAATTGTGACGTCAGGATGGCTTCAAAAATGAGGTCTAACACCTCATTTTTGTGTGTGTGCTGAGAACATTGAAGAACTCAGCAAGTCTGCAGTGAAGACTGAAGCATTTACAGCTGACCTTTTCTTACAGGAAGCTGAAGCTGTTCTGTTTTCACTGTAGTTTTTCCTTCCACATTCCTGGAGAGAACTCAAGTGAATTCTCAGAAGTGTTTAAGTTTTAGTGGTCAAGCCAGTCTAAAGTGGAGCATATTTGTAATCTCAGAGTCTGAAACAGAGGCAGGAGAGGCACCCAGGCTCTAGGCTGCTTCTGTCTGTCCACAAAGTCCAGGCCAGGACTAAATCATGAGACCCTGTGTCCAAATACCAGCAACAAATTGTGGTTACACATACTGCCCCCACCTCCCCAACACCAGCTCCATTTGCAGTATAAGTAGGAGCACTTTTATTTTGTAAAATACTGTGAAATTTAAATTACTACTGCTTTGACAGCACATAAAAGCCAAGTTTGCAATAAATAAATAAAGTCTGAGCTAGGTGTGGAGATGCATGGTTATAAGCTAGCAAGAACTTGGGGTGTGGATCTGCGAGGATCAAGAGTTTAAATCATCTTCAGCTATATAACAGTTAAAGCCTGAGGCCAGCCTGGACTTCATGAGACCCTGTGTCAAACAAAATCCACTTGCAAAATGAAAACAATAATAATCAAAGGCAGTTTGAAAGTTTCATTTTTATAGTTTTGTGTTCAGGAAAAATTGCCCATTTTCTTGCTTTGACTTTTGAGTGTGTTTCCCTGCTTTGTCGGTGTCCTCTCAGGACTCAGGGTGACCCAGTCCGCATCAGGCATTCGCATTCTCCACGGAGTTACAGGCAGTACCGCCGATCCCAGTGTTCAGACGGAGAGCGGTCGGTTCTCTCGGAAGTGAAGTAAGTGTCCAGGCCATTCTCATGGCTCACACACAGCCTGCAGAGCTCCCTGCCCCAGCAGAGCCTAAGATCTGAGTTTAGACCTGTTCACAAGTTGTGACATTTTCTCTTTGGCAGCTCAAGAACAGATCTTGTACCACCACTTCCAGTGACCCGTTCCTCAGATGCTCAGGGGTCCGGTGGCTCCACAGTGCATCAGGTTAGTAAGGTTTTACTGTGTCCCACTGGTGACTATTTAAAAATTAACACATTTTAGTTATTGTGTGTATGATGTGTATGAGCGTGGTCTGTGTGCGTGGTCAGAGAACTGCTTTGAGGACTGTTCTATATGGGTTCTCAGATTTGAAATCAGGTAGTAAGGATTAAACTGCTACAGCTTCTACCCACTAAACCATCTTGCCTGCCCAACAGGTAACTTTTTTTGTGAGGCAGGGTCTCACTTTATAGCTCTCACTGGCCTGGCCTCAAATTCACAGAATCTGTTTGCCTTTGCCTCCCAAGTGCCAGGGTCAGAGGTGTGCTCAGGGGCAAGCAACTGTGAGAAGTTTGAGAAACATCTTGTGCTTTGGGGAGTTCCTTTGGATACATTGAGCAATGAGTCTTAAATTCCATTCTGTTTATCAAAAAAAAAAAAAATCCACATATAAAACCTGAAAGCAGGAGGTAGGATGTGATCAGAAATTATGGGCGCAGCCTCAAAATAGCCACTTGGAATTAAAAGAGATAGTGCAAGGTCCCAAAGGTTGGGGGGAAGGTGGTGCTAAGGGTTAAGACTAAGATGGAGTGAGTGGAGCTAAGATAAAAATAATTGCTTCAGCTGGGTGTTGGTGGCTCACACCTTTAATCCCAGTACTCAGGAGGCAGAGGCAGGCAGATCTCTGTGAGTTCGAGGCCAGCCTGTTCTCCAGAGCGAGTGCCAGGATAGGCTCCAAAAACTACATAGAGAAACCCTGTCTTGAACCCTCCCCCCCCCAAAAAAATTGCTTCACTGGTTAAAAAAAAAGTGCTCTAAGCTATTTTTTCAAGCTGGAGAAATGATGGTGGGCACAGTTGTTTTGTTAAAGGGATGGCAGACAGAAGTACGGAGGTCGTGTTGTAGCTGTCCTCCACAGCAAAGGGAAGGCCAGCCTGGAAATGCTTACACATATGGCATGGCAGAGAGCTGTTGAGGCACTGTTGGTGGTATCCTTGGGTTTCCATCTGACCTAATTAATGGGTTGTGTATAAGTCCAGACTCCAGAAGTCCTGGGCATGGTGTCCAGGCTCAGGGAGGTCAATTAACCTCTCGATAATCAAATCTCCAAGCCTCCTCATTCTGTTGGCAGTGAGACAGTTCCAGATGATGGGGAACTCTGTAAGTGATCACACTGTTTAGTAACTGTTTCATAGGGTGAGAGGCTTTGCTCAGAAAAGGAATCCTAGTTAAGGAAGTCTTTTAAGTAATGAATAAAACGGATGTGTACCCAATCTTGTCAGAGCAACATTAAACACATTTGATTTTGCAGTTAACTAGAGGTAGCTTCCAAATGTTATCAAACTTTTCATAATTACAACTTGCAAAGGTGGCCACACTATGTAGCTTAGGCTGGACTTGGTCTTTTCCCAAGATTATACAAGTTTGCCCCTCTGTCCAGCTTCTGGTCTGTTTCTAAAAGTTCTTAATATGATTACTTAATCTGATTGTTTTGTTATCAAATGTTTTTCTAGAGAAGAAATGGATCTAAAGACAGCCTAATTGAAGAAAAATCTCAGCTATCTACAATCAATCTGGCTGGAAAACATACAGCAAAAACAATAAAAACCATCCAGGCTGCCCGCCTCAAGACAGAGACTTGACCCTGTTAAGGGGCAAAGGGTAGGGATGGAAATGCTGTGTGCCACTGGTACTTTTGAAACTGTGAATTAGTTAACTATCCACTTCTCTTGGACATGTGTCTTTAGCATAAGAAACATTTTTAAAGGGCTTACACAAGCGTTTTTGTGCTGTGGGGCCTTTTGACTGGAAGGTTATGAACTCACTGGATGCCAGTCTTACCTGAGACCCATCCAATTCCATGCATCTCATCTCCACCATAGAGCCAAGACTAGATGCTTCTGATGAAGCCCCTGGATGCCTGGCCTGTAGACTGTCATGACTTATCCCCATAAAGCTGTAATATTGTATTTTGTGGCATTAAGTCCCAATGGTTATTTACGAATATTGTAAAAAGCTGTTAAGTGTTAATTTGAATTCAAGTGTCCTTGTCTTGTGTTTACCTGTTAGGACCTTGTTACCTGCCCAACACATCCATGTACTCAAACTTTGGACCCTTTCTCTGTGCAAGGTGACTTCAGATAGGAATAATTGTAAAAAGAACCCCTCTGTATTGCTGTCATCAGCTGAGACCCATCTTTCCCTGTGGCTGTCTGTCTCTAGCCTCCTTGAAATTCTGTTCCCTTATTATTTAAGCCTCTTCCCATTGCAAGACAGGGTCTTATCTGCCCCTGCAGGGCTTAAGAGCTGTGCACTTTCCCACTTCTAGTCATTCATTTTGTTACAGCCCAGTAGTTCACTTTGCCCCATAAATGCCTCCAGCTATTATTCCTTTGAAGACCATCTTCAATATCCTAATGTTAAATACCCAGTCAACTGGGGCAGATTGCTCTGTAGTAGTGATTGCCAAATTTTCTCCACAGCATCCAAACCTCAACTGTGGCCTTTACTTACCCCCCCCCCAATAAAACCAAACTCAAGGATTCCTTTCCATCCAGTGTGATGTTTAACACTCTTCCTTCTCTGCTGTAATTCTAGTTTGCTGGGTATCCTCTGCTGCTCACCTCACTGTGATAAAGTCATCGGGCCTACCTCCCTAGAACCACCCCCTCCCTCCCGTTATTCCTGATCTTGCTTTAATAAAGCCCAAGCCTTAGTGGTCTGGTCTCTTTACTGCCTATTCAGTCCTTGCTAACATCCCCAGCTCCTGGACAGGCCCACCCTACACTATTCAGACTACTTTTAACCTGAAACCGGAACAGAGGGAACACAGCAGCTGACATCAGTGTTCAATCTTCCACCTCACATGGTATCTTCACAATTATGCTTTACAATGGCTTCTACCCCCACCAACTGCTTCCTTGGGTTTCGACCATTTGATGGCATCTTCCTACTGGATTTATCTCAAAGAATGCTTCCCCTTTATATTTCACTCCAGCTCCCAGGACAGCGTTCCCCAATGCACTATCTGTCCTTTCCCGTTAAGCAAAGGGAGAAGTTATGCCAGCCAGTTTAGCTGCTACACAGGAACCCAGTAAGGCACTCTGGCAGCCTGTCAAATTCAGCACACAAGTCTCAAAGCGGCATATTAAACATTTATTCATTCTTTTTTACAAATGTGCATTCATCAATGCAGTGTCTCCACACACCTCTTAGAAAATTCAAGCCATCCATGTTTCTGAAGATCAAATTTCCAAATCAAGGATATCCTAAAAGAAATGAAAAAACACTTTACTCGTATGAAAAAACACTTTACTCACCACCACAGCCTTTAGTATTGGCAAAACTAGACCAATTTTGTTCTTGCAGCCCAACATTCATAAAAGTAAGCCAACGAGTGGTCTATCTCCTCTTCAGTTCCTTCTGGGCTAGCTTCAGATAGGCACACCAACTTTAGAAGGAAATCCCCACCGCTTGTGCTTTGCAGCCTTCCTACCTTAAGCCACCTTTGCACTCCCGTGTGTCTGTCGTTCAATAAGTATTCACCAGCTTCAGACACCAACCTGCCAAATGAGTAAGAACCAGTTAAAAGAAACGGCATTCCCGGCGTTGGGCATTACACTCACCCTCACGTTAGGGTAGACTTTGTGTTACTTATGCAGCTCCGACACCCAAGACACCGAGCTCCAGGGTAAGAAATGGCCGCAAAGCATTAATTTATGCCTTTTTTGACACCGCGTTCACTAGTGAGCAAAGGTGAACGGGCAACACAAAGGCTACACAGGAACGGAGCCGCAGGCCGGCCTACCCTTATTCGGAGCTTGGGAAGGGGTTCTCAATCCCACCTTTTGACTCCGACGTCCGCTCCCTTCTCGCCCGGTTGTGCTCCT